TATCACAGGGCTATTAAAAACAGATATATAAAACGATTTCGCGGGCCGGATATAGTTGTATGGCGGGCCGGATGTGGCCCGCGGGCCTTGAGTTTGACACATGTGGTCTAGAAGATATACACAATAAACAGACATGCATGCAAGCTCTGAAGTGCATGCCCATCTGAACATGCTGATGAATCTCACGCCTACCACATAAACATTTCAAGCTGCTAGCAGATAACGGTTTAAAGATTTGACACACTGAAATGGGAAGAAAATGAAAATCTGTCCTTCTGTCCACCAGAATAAACCCCGATATTTACCCAGAAAAATTATTAATAGTTTTTGCACCGAATTGCAACTGTTTGTGTTGTTGTAATAATAAATACCAATAAATTCCCAGGAATAATTAAAACAAAAACCGAAAACGAAGGGTCCTACATACACAGTGCTATCTGTTCCAGCAATGGAGTGATACTGAAAAGAAAAAAAGAGAGGGAAAAAGAAGCAAAATGCTCTGATTTCTTTACTGAACTATGTGGTCTGGAATAAAGGACCGTTGGATTGTGAGCTCCTTCCTACACATACCCTTACCCAATTATGTTGACAAGCACACAGCTCTGCAGCGAGAGAAAAATCAACAGTCTGCATGGCTCACGTGGGCCCAGTAAAAAGAAGCTACAAATATCTGCCTTGTCTATTTTTCTCTTCTCTCTAAACAGACTTTGTACCAGTAAACCTATTTTGGTTAATTTTGTGATTTTTATCAACATAGTTATACCAGTAGGAAGGAATCAGAAGGGCCAGTGAGAAAGGTATTGAACACCTCAATCTTGGGGCCTAGTCCCATTGACACTAATGGCAAAATCCCAACTGGTTTCCAAGGAAGCAGGCTTCGGCCTAAGCCTTTTAAGGCCACTGATAAAACAAGGTAATGTTCAGATAACTCACAGAAGGTGACATTCGTTTCTTCACCATCTGAAGGGGATAAACGCCAGACATAAAATCCTGGCCTTGTTGGAGTCAATGGCAAAATTGAAGTCAGTGAGGTCAAGGATTTCACCCCACTTTTGAAATCTCTTTTGGCAACACACATGCAAGTCACAGGAGAGGAGTCTCAGCCCATCACCCGTCTGATATAAATTAACTGAGTATCATGCAGTTTACTTTTAGGCCTTGTATTTACTGCTAAGAGCAGGTATGGTTGTTTTCCCTCACGGTAACTAGCATGCATGAGGTATCCTGAGGTAAACATCACAGTGAAGACAAGGCATTTTACTTTTATTGACAGGTAAATGGCATGAGGCAAGATCAGCCACAAACAGGCAGGGGTATATAGTGTTGACCTCACCTAGTATATACCTCAGGATAAAATTTAAGTGTCTTCTCTTTACTGTTTTTTCACCTCAGGATAGCTTGCATGCAATAGCTACCCAGGATAAAATGAACAGACATCTTTTTAGCAGTGAAGTCAAGAGAA